TGGGGATGGATGGATGAATGGATGGATGGATGGATGGATGGATGGATGGATGGATGGGATGTTTTTCTGCATTTCTCACCCCGCCCCAGGGGAGAAACATGCCTGAGCCCCCCTGCACCCAGCCCGAATCCCACTGCTGCAGCACAGCCCCCTGGAAGTCCCCCAGATCTGCAACCACCACGGGCACCACTCCTTTGGGGTCACAGATCTGTCAGGAACAGCCCCAGGCTCCTGGCACAACACTCTCCTGAGGCCAGGGGAGGGTTCCATCCTGCTGCTGACCCAGCTGTGCCCCCAGTGCCTCCCTGAGGGGAAGCTCCAGGCCCTGGTGTTCCCTGGGTAATTTTGGGTGGGTTCATCTCTGCCCAGCCCCAAGGAAGGCCCAAAGTTCAGCCACGGCTCAGTGCCTCCTCTTTGGCAGCTCCACCAGCCAGCTGAGCCCTTTTAATGGGCAGCAGCAGCATCCCAGGAGCCCTGGGCGAGTCCTGCCTCGCTGAGCTGGGCTGTCCTTGGCAGGAGCTCTGTTGGAGCAGGGGAGGGCGGGAGGGCATGGGATTGATGTCCCCAGGGTGACAGCGAGTGATGGATGATGCTCTGCCCCACACAGTTCCTTCCCAGGGATGTCACAGAGGGGAGGAACCCACAGACTCCAGCTCAGAAAAGTCCATTCTGGTTTTAGGAAGGGAGGGGTGAAGCACTGAGAGATCTTCTCTTGGAAGTCCTCAAAGAAACCCCAACAAACTCCACTCTTGCTTTCCCTGCAGGACCATCCTCCAGCCCACCAGCAAATGGGCAATTTGTCAATCCACCCACACCCCCAACACGTTTCTTTGGGGTGGAGAGTCCTCCCATGGCCTTCTCACATCCTGGGACTGGAGGGAAAAATGTCACTTGGCCACAGAGCCCGAAATGCAGATGGGTCTGGCACATGGAGATGTGGGTCCAACCCGTGGAGATGTGAGTCCAGGACATGGAGATGTGTGTGCAGAACGTGGAGATTTGGGTCCAGAAAATGGATATATGAGTCCAGCACATGGAGATGTGAGTCCAGAACATGGAGATGGGGGTTCAGCACATGGAGATGAGGGTTCAGCACATGGAGATGGGGGTCCAGAATGTGGAGATGTATGTGCAGAACGTGGAGATTTGAGTCCAGAACGTGGAGATTTGGGTCCAGAACGTGGATATATGAGTCCAGCACATGGAGATGTGGGTCCAGAAAATGGAGATGGGGGTTCAGCACATGGAGATGTGAGTCCAGAACATGGGGATGTGGGTCCAGAACATGGGGATGTGGGTCCAGCACATGGAGATGTGGGTCCAAGCCATGGAGATATGGATCCAGCACATGGAGATGTGAGTCCAGAACATGGAGATGAGGGTTCAGCACATGGAGATGGGGGTCCAGAACATGGAGATGTATGTGCAGATCATGGAGATTTGGGTCCAGAACATGGGGATGTGGGTCCAGCACATGGAGATGTGGGTCCAGAACGTGAAGATGTGACTCCAGCAACCATTAACATGGAAGGGCCATGAGCACCGTTGTTGGCCATCAGAGATTTTCCATTGACTCCAGGGCCTCCAGGCTGCTCAGGAAGGGGAAGATCAATCACCCACAGCTGTTAATCCGCAGAGACATCCCAGACCACAGATAAATCACAGATAAGAGCTGTCCCACCTCCTCCAGCGGGAACACCTCCCCTGGCCTGTAAAAACCTCAAAGACACGACACTAAGAGGAAAGTTAAATGATTAATTTGTTTTTCAAAACCTCATCCCCAGGAAAATATCACATTTTCCAGGCAGAGGAAAATTCTTTTGGCAGCCTGAGCCCCCCTAAACTGTATGGGAGTTCATTTGAGTTGACTTGAGTGTGCTCACACACATCTGTGATTAGACACTCACTCCACAGATATTTTTGTTAACCTCCCTATTTGAAATTCTCCCCAAACTTCCCGAGCAGGATTTTCTTGTCCAAGCATTTGTGTTTTATATCCATGCTAAAATACTGCTTTATAAATAGCAAGAGCTTTATCCTGACTCTAACCAACAAACTCAACTTAAAGCTAAATGCATAATTTACTGCAAATTAAACTTAATGGGACTGGAATAATTATGTTGACTTTTGGAAGTACTTAAGGATAAACACATGATTAGATATTTTGCACACCGTGAGGAAATATTTATTTCGAAATACAAATTCTTCCCATTGAGCCTTTTGATGGAACATTTAGAGGTGACACGAGCAGCATGGAGATTACAGGCCCGTTAAGGCTACTTAAATAAATTATCCCACAGCATTTAGAGCACTGGAGAGATGGGAAATCTCTGGAAAAGTGGGGTGTCTGTGCTGGCAGTGATAGCTTGGGGAGTTTGGCACATCCTTGGGTGGGGCTCTTCAGACTCTACTCCTTGTGCCCATCCTGGGAAAAGTGTCCTGGGCATCCCTGCAGAGCTGGGCTGTCCATGGGACCAAGGTCATCCCACAAAGATCATCCTACTCAGGGACCCTTCACACACTTGTGCCCCAAAAATAACCCAAGTAAGGCTGGATGGGTGGTCCAGGCACCTGGGGACAGGGGTGTGACATGTTTGTCCCCATTCCAACCTCATCAGACAGGCGTGGGAAGTCTTGGCAGGGTCTCTGGAGGACGGGGATAAAAGAGGGGATGGAGAGGATCAGCCCAACAGCAGCACTTGGCCTCCAGAGCCATCACAGGTGATAAATGGGCCACTGGGACTAATTGAATTGGGGTTTTGCTTTAATGAATTAATCTGCCAAGGTTAATCAGGAGGGTTTAACACACCCTCCCCCAGCCCTCACCCTTGGCTCAGGGCAACCTTTCAAATGCCACATCAAAAGGAAAAAGCCAAAACCTGAGAGGGTTGAAGTGCCATGACCTGGGGTGGGGTGGCCCAGGTGGGACCCTCACACTGGGAAGTACCTGAAGCACTGAAGGAGAAGAGGGAAAAGGAGGCCCTTGCTCTGCTCACAATTCCTTTGGGTACCTTGGTCATGTCCCTCCATAACTGGGGGGGTGAGACCTGGGCACCCTCCTGCAACACTCCCCGTGTCCTGAAGGTGGTTTTGGGTTGTGGGCTCTCCAGGGCAGGTGGGGTTGGCAAGGACAAAGCTGAGCATCCCCTGGGAATTCCAGCCCCTCTGGGCAGGTGGAGAGGGGTGGGACAGGGGTCCCAATGCCAGGCACCAGCCAGGGGCTGGAGCTGGACTCCTGGCACATCCAGCACTGTCTGTCAGCCAGGATTAGGGAATGAGCCTGTGGATGGAACAAGAATATCCAGGTCACCTCCAACAATACCATGACATTGGCTTAGGGAAATTAGGACCAGCTCTACTGGGGTGTGTGCTGCTGATAACAGCACAAAGGAGGCGTTGGGCTGGTGAGCAACTCCTAAGAGCCCAAAGTTGGGCACATTTGGATTACTGAAATGCAAAGAGCTCCTTTTAAACAGCTCTAATCCAGCCAGGCCTGGCAGAGCAGCAGCAGGACCCCAGTGCCTCAAGCCATGCCCCTGCCAAGGCATTCTTGGCTCTGGAAAATAGGGAAAGAAATGTTCCACTGCACCCACCCCCATCCCAAGCTGCCCCACAACAGGTCACTCACCAGGACGAGCTGATGAACCAGAAGGGACAATACCTCCACGGGACATCACAGGATGAGGGCTTGAACTGCTGGTCTGTCCTGCCTCCAGGGACCTGTTGGCTCTTCTGGGCTGTCCATGCCTCTTGGAGAAGTTGCAGGGATGAAGTAAGGAAGGAGGGACAGTGATGCCACTCACCTCCCTGAGCTCCCGGGGCCCCAGAGAGCCACCAAACCCTTGTCCCTGCAGAACAGCTCCTCTTTTTACCTTCACGAGCCATAATTCCTGGTCCCTGGTGGCAGCAGCTGCTGTCTCTCTCTCTCCATCACAGACCAGCAGTGGAATGATGACTGTCATAAACCAGGGGGAAAAGCTTTTTCCTCATTAGCTGCCTGTGACAGCGAGTGCCCAACGAGCTGTGGCTGAAATACAGCCTGGGAAGAGTGAGGCTGCAGAGGGAACCAGGGGGAGGAGGGTGGGGAGGCAGCACAGGACTCCGGAGTGGCTCTGGCTGGGCCACCAAGCTGGTGGCCAGCCTGGCTGTGGGGTCCAGGACCAGGCTGTGGCTGCACAAAATAACCTTGGCAGGGTTATTTTTTAATAGATGCAAATTTTTCCCAGTCTGGTTTGGTGGGAAGAGAAAGGAAAGGGACACTGTGGATGGCCAACAGGGCACTGGAGGTCACAGGGGCCAACCCACCTCAAGGCCACCAGGACAGCACCGGGGGCTTGGGGACACAGAGGTCACCCCCTGCCCGGCCTGACCCCCCAAACCCAGAGCCCTTCCCAAGGGCAGGACTTGATTGGAATTTGCATTATCCCCCTTTTCATTATTTATTGGTAAAGTGTAATTACTGCCTCCTTCACGAGCCTTAATTAAAGATGAAAAACAATCCTGACAAGTCAATTAGATTTTTTTTTTTTCCTTGGTCTCCATTAAATTAAGACTCAAGTGTTACTGGAAGTGTTTAATATCACAACACATTTAACTGAAGGCTGCTTTGTAATAAATAAATCACCAGAGACAATGCAGGAACTTCTCCTGAAGGCTCTTCTCTACCAACAGGATTTCATTTTCCAGCTGCAAAATGCCCTGAGTTTCTCCTTCCTCCACAACACCTTTTCCAGCCATGGAAAACTTCCCTCAGAAGCACCCAGGGTGGGTCCTGCCCAGTCCAAGATCTCCAGGAGGACACCAACAGCAAAGCTCTGCAAGCACAAGGCAACCCCATCTCCTCTGTGCCACGAAGGTTTTGGAGTCCTGGAATTTGGCCCTGCAAATCTACTCCTCAAAATATCCTCAAAAAGCAAGCTATGGTTGATGGAGAGGGGTTTTTTTTCTCCCCAAATCACAGCGCCCAGATCAGAGCCAGCGAAAGAAATCCACAGGCCATCACAAATTTGGAACATTTATTTATGCAACTGATCTTCTGAAAAGGAAAGAAAGCCAAAAAATAATAATATAATAATAAAACTATTTTAAAAAAACCAACCAGTTAAAACAACAGCTGGATGTGCGTGGTACAATCCACATCAGACCTGTCCCTCCCTCCTTCTCCAAGGTGGAGCTGCCTCCTTTTTGGGATCACTTTTCCTGCATATGGACAAAATGGTTCCAATTTGGTGTTTTTCTTGGGTTTTAATTTTTTTCCTTTTTTTTGTTTTGTTCTGTTTTTGTTTGGTTTGATTTTATTAAAAAAAAAAAAAACAACAAACAAAAAAAGCACCACTCCAATCTGTAATACCAATAAACATTATCCATCTTAAGAACAGTATTTATATTTTTATATATAGATTTCTATATATATATATTTCTATGTACAGGATGTCCTTGCCTCGTGTCAGAGGAGCATCTCAGTAGGAGTTGGAGGTGGGTTGGATTTTATAGCACTTGGATTTCAAAGTCTGCCCTTCAACAGAGATGCCCTAAAAACCCAGAGACACCTAGCAAGGAGATATCAAAATAAAATAAAAAGGAAAAAAATCTGGATTTTAAAACATATATACAACTCCTCCAGCTTCTGTTGTCTCCAGGACTAAGTGGGGTTGCAGTTTTCCACCTTTTCCTCTTTCTGGCAACACTTTACCTCCATCCCTGTGGGATGGTCCCTCCCTCTGGACTGCAGGGAGGAGGTGGGGGAAGATCTGGGATGAAGCAGCAACATCCCTCTGGTTCCCAGGACTGAAGAGCCCCCAGATCATCCCATTCCCAGGGATTTCAGAGGCTCAGCTCAGCCATTTCCATCCAAACCCAAACAATTCCTGCACGTTTCTGCACCCACCGTGCAGAGCCTTCCCTAGGACAGCAGGACGTGTCTATGGAGAGATGGGGATTGGGAAAAGGACACGGATTTATTCCAAGTCAAGGCTTGTGATGTGAGACCTGGTGTTACCAGGTACTGGTGTCACCACACTGGGGTGTAACTGGGCCGTTTTAGGGTAAAAAAAAGGCTATTTGGTCACGAGACTGAATGGGCACATGACAGGGTTAGACAGCAGGGATGGAAAAAATGGGAATAATGTTGTATAGCCCTTGGAATAAGTTGTTTTCAGGCTGGGAATTACTCAGTGAGCAGGTGAGAGAGCCAAGGCTCTGGGCAGAACCCCTGGATGCTGCTGAGACCCCCATCCCCACAGCGGGTGGGAAACCTCCAAGGGGAGAGAGGGCAGAGCTGGATCTCCCTGCTCTCCTTCACCCTTGGAAGGGGGATGGAAACATGCCCTGGGTTTGCTCCCCCAGCCTTCAAGATTCCCTGGGGAGAATTCCCTGGGGAGAGGGATCCCCAGCTCCAGGCAGGGCAAGGCAGGGAAGCTGCCCCTGCCCTGGGGAGATGGGGCTGGAGGATGGGGGAGCACACATGGGGGATGAAGGATAAGAGGAGGGTGAGGGAGAGATGAAGGATGAAGGAGGGATGAAGGATGGGGTTGCCCACATCCACCCTCCAGCATCTGGAGGACAGTTTTCTCATCTGTTCTGCTCCATCCCCACAAAAAATGATGGTGAAGTTCTGCCTGGCCCTCAAGGCAGACCCAACCTCCCCTCAGTCTGAGTCCCCAGGGCAGACCCCAGACCTTCATCCCTCTGCCTGCACCTTCCTGAGGCTGTTCATTTTATTACCACCAGGCTGTGAGCAGAGATTCCTGGAATTACCACAACATCAGATGGAAAAAGTGCCATCTCACACCCACCTGCAGCAGGATGGAGCCAAAAAAGTATCAAGTACCTTGAATCACCAGCCCTGGGTGGCAGCAGGGGCTTGGGGACCTCCCCATGCCCAGCCCCGACATACAGCCCAGCTCAGGGGCTTCAGCACAGCTCAGCACCACCCCAAAACTGCTCCACCAGCCCCAGCAAAAGCCAAGAGCATCAGTGGACAACTGCCTGGGGGCAGAATCCAGGAGGAACACGGGATGGACCCAAATTTTGAGGGTTTTGCTTCAAATGCAGCGATTCACGAGGGAAGGGTTAAAAACAGCCCTGTGGGCCGGAGCCTTTGGGTCATCAGGAGGAATTAAGTGCAACAGATGGGGAGGATGGTGTGGAGATGCAGGGGAAGCATCGCTTCCAAAGCTTGGCAGAGGTGCCAGGAAGGCCCGGGTCTGAAGCAGGACACGGTCGGTGCCACCCATGCTCTCTCATCCCTCTTCCCTGCTCTGCCCAGGGCTGGGCACACAAAGGGTGGCAACTCACACAACTAAAACAAGCAAAGACCAAACTCGTGGTGCGAAGGGGCACAAACTCAAGAGCTCCTGAGAGGGTCTTTGTCCCAGGCAGCCGTTGGGCTCCTCGGGAGCGGCTTCAGTTCCACACAGAACTGAAAGCCAACGTCTCTCCTCCCAGTATCCATCCTTCCCTGCTGGGAAATGGCCTCGGCTCCTTCTGTCCTCCTCTTCCTCCCCTCCCTGGGCTCCTCTCCAGCTGCTTTAGGGGCCCCCGGCAGCGCCACGGGGCCACATCCTGCACACCCCAACTCCAAGGAATGGGATGAGTCGTGACATCCAACCTGTGGCCACTCAGCAGGGAGGGAAGATGGAGAGCAGAGGATGAAGATGGAGAGCGGCCAACACCCCCAACACGTCCAGCACATCCCCACATCCTCTCGTTTCCTCGATCCCATGGGTTTTCCCGTTGGGTCCTTTGCTGTTTCCGGGCCCGCCTCCAGCAGGAACGCAACGTCCAGGTGGGAGATGCACAGTTGGCACGACCCCTGTGCCAGCCCTCGCCGCCCCTCTCCTGGCCAGGTGCTATCTGGTCTCCAGGGACTCCAGATATTCCAGTGCTATGTCGTAGCAGAAATGGTACTGCTCCTGTTCGGAGAGAGAAGAGAGGATGTTGTGATCCCAAGTGAATTATTTCCCAAATCTATCCCTGTTTGAGGCAAAATAAATGTCCACAGCCCTAAGGAAACGCCTGTGAGGGCTCTATGGGATGTCAGCCCTGGCTGGGGACTGTGTCCCTCTCCAGGCTCCATGACGGTCCTGCTGATGCCACAGCCAGGAGAAACTCCACTCCTGGCAAACAACACCCATTGTTGGTGTTGTCCCCATTGTCCTCCAGATCCAAAGGCAGCACATGCAACAAATTTCCCTTTTCTGGGGACAGACGGCACCTTCACCTCCCCCAGGGGATGGACAAGGACTGTGACATCCCCCTGCTATGAAAATACAGTTTATTCACCACCCCAGGGTACAAGCAGGAGCAGCACTGGGGGCTCAGTGACCACATCCCCCCCTGTCTGACCCCTCACCACCACAGTGACTGACATGTGTCAATCAGTGGTGGCAGAGCCAAGGGAATGATGGATTTTGGGGGCAGAGGTGTCCAAAACAAAACCTCAGGCAGGAAATCGAGATTTTTTGTTTCTGAGTTCAGCAGAGGCTGAAAATGGGGAGAGTGCCAAGGTGACCACTCATGGTCTGGGTGGATGGAGATGCCCTGCCCTGGCTGCCAGGACATTCTTCATCACAAATTCTCTTCATGCTGATGAAGAAGAGTTATTTTCCATCCCTTGCAGGGGATTTGGTTTGGGCGTTTGCTGTGCGTGGGGGGAGAGGCACAAAGGGAACTCCCGGGAGTTTCACTTCCAAAAAATCCAAATTTTCCAAGGGAAGTGCCAAACCAATGAGCACTTTGGTGCTCAGGTCAAAGCCTGAGCTGCCTGTGACAGAGCCAAGGACTGTAAGTGGGGAAGCTCCTCTCCAAACTCTCAACAGGACCGGGCTCGCTCTTCCCTCTTTTCCCCAGACACCAACGGATGATGTCAACATCCTCCCACCTTCTGCTTTCCCCCAGGGAAAGCCCAGCATGGGTTTTATAGCAAAAGTCACTGAAATTGGGCTTGTAAAGGCAGTCTCATCCATCCACATCCTTTCCATGACCTGTTCCCATGCACAGAAAGCTCATGGGAACGCTGCGACCTTGGCAGTGCCCAACCCCAGGAGCTGTTGCTCCAACAAACAAAACCAGCCTGAATGGGGGGGAAAAACACCCCAAATAAATCAGGATTTTGGTGCTGCTACAAGTGCTGGGACATCAGGTGGGCGCAGGGAAGGAAAGGGGAGAGCTCATCTCCCCAAATCCCAGCTGCAGGACAGGGATTGCAGCTCGAGCACCAGCACGAAAATCCCGTTATCCCGCGCGGGTGGGCGGCTGCTCAGGGATCCCAGGTGGGAGCGGGCAGGGAGGGAGAGGAGGACTTCAAAGAGAGGAGGCTGCCACGGCTCAGATTAAAAGCACATAATGCTTTTGGGATTAAGAAAAGGGATTGTTTCCATTTATCATCACATAAAAATAAACCCCAGGGGCAAACTGAGGGGAAGATGCGCGGGAAGCGCCTCGTGCTGGCTGCTCTCTGCAGGGCTGTGCCTCCTTACACCAGGCACGGATCCGGCCTCCTGGGGACTCAGGGAGATTGAGATTCCCAGAATAGCTGGTTCAGGTTCATTTGAGGCGGGAGGACGCTCGTGTCCTGATGGGAAATGTTGCCTTTTTTTTTTAATACCTTTGCAATTTAGCCCGATGGGCCCGGTGGCTTCATGCTTGTCACATCATCTTTCCATTATCTGCATCCCTCCCCCTGCTCCCCTCTCCCCTCCCTCACCTTCTCCTCTGCTTTTAATTCCTAATGCAAATCACATCCCCTCCTCAAAAAACCATTTCATTTTGCAACTTAGGGATTTTATAATCCGAACAGGGTAAACATTTCCAGCTGACTCGCTTTTAAAACATCAGGAGGCACCTGGATTCCTCCACCATGGACAAGCGGCTGCTCCATCCCCTCTTCCATTATTGAGGGCCTGAATTAGGGCAGGGACTTTTCACCCTGACCTGCTGCCACCTCCAGCCTCCTCCTCAGGGCACGTGGCTCCACTGCTGCTCCCAGCAGCTCCTCCACCCATTAATTTCATTCCAAATCCTCATTCCTTTTATATTTCTAACAGGAATTTATCTGGCTCCCAACACCACAAACCTTCTGAAGAACCACAGTGACATCCCCATGAGTTGATGTGAACCCTCCTTCTGATTCTTGGGAAGGATTTCCCACAACCCCAGTGCTGACACCACGTTGGCACGGCAGGATGAAGACAAGGCTGCTTTGAGAAGCTGCCTCACCTCCCTGCCCATCCCATGCCCGTGATGCTCATCAGGATTTGGGGAGGCAAAGGAGGTGTTCTGGGAATTAGGGAGGCCCAGCACCTCTCCCCTCTGCTGGCACCAGCAGCCAGGGTGGATGTTGGTGGGCTCTGGTGCTTACCAAGGTCTCCACCATATTTGGCTTGTAGTTGCGGAGGGTCTTTGCAGCATAGAACACATCTGCCATGTTGTGACACTTGATCATCTCCAGGATCATGGTGGAGGCACAGAAGGTGCCACTCCGGCCACCTCCGTTCCTGGTGGGAGAAACACACATGTCAGTGGTGAGAAAATGGCATTAGAGCACCTTCCTGCTCCCTCCAGGTGCCCCTTTCCCCGTCTGACTCTGCATCCCAGGAGATGTGCCCAAACCGGGGCACCTGAACCTGCCCCACAGGGTGGTAGGAGTTGTGATCCTGCCCTCCCAGTCTTCAGAAGAGCATGAAAACACCTTTTTGGACCATCAAGGCTGGATCCTGGACCATTTGGGCTCAGTGTCCAGCCCTGCCATGGATCAGCTCTTCATGTGAATTTGGAAAAGCTGCTGTGTCTCTCCTCCCATCCACAGGGAGCTGGTGACATGGGGGTGGTGCTGCCTGGAGGAACCATCCCATGTTTCCCCCAGAGCACTGGGTACCTCCCCAAAAGCTGTTCTCCCACCGTGTCTCATCCCTGGCAGTGAAGGGAACAGGGGAGAGGAAGAGAGAACACGATGCCAGTGTTGTACAGAGCATGTTCTCAAATTATCCCCGGGCTAATGAAGACGGACAAGGCTGTAATTAATTTTTGATTAAAGGCTCTCCTGCTGTCTCTGCCCATCTGCAAACGTGCCAGGTCCCATCCGAGGGGAGCACACGGTGTTTGTGAGCCAAACCCACTGGGAGGAGGGGGATGGAGAACATCTCCAGGCTTGGAGCAACCTGGCCTAGTGGAACGTGTTCCTGCCCACTGGAACATGATGATTTTCAAGATCCCTTCCCACCCAAACCATTCCATGGTTCTATGTCCCCCTCAATGAAAAGCAAAGGATGGGAGTTGCCACAGTTCCTGCCATGGCCCTTTGGAGCCTGCCACACACACAGGGCATGGTGACAGGGTTGGGACCTCTGCCAGGCCCTGCTGCAGGACAGGGCACAGGCATGAAGGGCAGGGATGGTGCCAGGGTGTCATTCCCACTGAGCATCCATCTCATGGAGAACGTTTGACTTGGTGACCATAAGGTGCCTCCAAACTCACGTTGTGGCACCATCTGGGGACAAAGTCACCCCAGGGAGGGCTTTTTTTAGGGGATTTCCAGGCAGAACTGTGGGCATGGAAACTGGAGGCATCTCCCCCCCACCAGCAGAACCTGCTCCTCCCCAGGGGACACTCACAGGCAGTGCACCACAGTCCTGCCATCCCCACTTTCCTTCTGCCACCTCTCTACTTGGGCCAGGAGGTGCAGGAAGGACTTCTTGGAGTCGGGAGTGTCTCGATACGCCGACCACCGCAGGTACTGGAAGTGCCGGACCATCAGGTGCCCCTCCTGCAACTAGAAAAGCAAAACTCATCACCTGGAACCCCCGGGCTGCCCTCATTTACTGGAGGTTTGAGGGAGGGCAAGAGGGGTTTGCCAGGCATGGACAGTGGAGAAAGAGAGGAAAACCTTTTCCTGGTGCTTTAAGTTGGGTGGTTCCTTGAGCTCGCTCTGGTTCCACCACCCCATTGCACCTGGGGAAAGCTCCACAGACGTGGTTCATCCCACCTCAGGCTGTCTCTGTGTCTCCTCAAACTTGTTACCAGACCCCCTGAGCCTCCCCAGGGCTTCTCCATCACATCCTCCTCCTGCACGACGAAGATCCACGGGGATGTGTTTCTGTCCCGCTCGCTGTAAACCAGGAGCTGCCACCCACAGAGGCAGGAGCTTAATGCCTGGTAATCTGGTTAGTTTGGAAAGCTAATCTGGTTAGCTGGATCCAGGAGGAGGATTAAAAACATCCCCGGAGCTGAACAAGGCCAAGCTTTAGCCCAGCAGATGTGGGGCTCCTGCTCAGGAATACTCGGAGCATCCGGAGTGTTGGATGGGGTGGCACCATGGTCACACATTCCAGATGCAACTCAGGGCTTGGCAGCACACATGGGGAGCACACATTGGAGGAGAAAGGGGGGGTCAGGCACAGAGGGGGGGTGCTCAGCTCTGGAGGGCTCTGTCCACCCCATTTCAGATGCCTGATGAGCACCAGACCTTCTCCTCCAAGCAGCAGGACCACAATATTCCCGTGGCTCTGCAGGGAGCCCCAGTCTGGGGGCTGGGAATTGGGGGCATGCAGTGCCCATTCCAACCTGCACCCCCTTAAGAGGGGCTTTTCTGAACCTTTTTGGGGGCTTTTCTGATCTTTCCAGGAGACTCAGTTTGGGTTGGTGATGTGGTGTGATGGGCTGATCACCTTGGACTCCAGTTTTTGCTTCCAGCTGGAAGCCAGGAAGGCAGAGGGGGAAGATGAGACAAGTAAGTGGAGTTAAAACAGGAGAAAATCCCTCTGCCAGCTCGGGAAGGACAGTTTTGGGATGTGTTCTGAAGCTGAGGTGAAAGCTCTGGAGGGCTTGTGACATCCCCAATGCTTCATCCCAGCAGGCAAAGGCTTGGCACGAAGTGGCTGCGAGCAATCTGCTCCCTGGGGGAATCTCCTCTTAGATCCAGAGATTTCCATCACACTGAATTTGAATTCAGCACAGGGTATATTCTACCACCTGAGAGCAGAGCATGTTTGGTGTAGGATTTTGTGCTGACACCCAGGAAATGCCAGATGCTCCCACGGGGAGCGTGAACCAAAACCCTCTTTGTGTTGAGTCCAGATAATCAGGATTTATCCCCTCTGGCCCCAGTCACCCCTCGGAAGCACCTTTCCAGCTGGGCCATCAGCCAGGCCACACACTCCTTTCCAAGCTCCCTAATTCCCATCTGCCTGGTGACCTTCACTGGGGCATTGGCCTCAGCCTCTTGGCAACCCTCAGGAGTTTAAGGCCTTCAGGGATGTCACCTCTCCCTGGATGGCTTTTGTAGGTAAAGCAGCTTTTGTTTTTCCACGTGCAGCTCTGCACCCACACGGGCTCTTCATCACAGTCTGTGTCCCTTCCCTGTTTCCCTGCATTTCTCTTCATTTCAAAGCAAGATGAACCAGCCACATGTCCAAGCAACAAGGTAAAAAACTTGGTGGATCTTCTCACCCTGCAGGAGAAGGGCTCTGCTGGTGCCATGCCCATGTGGGGAGTCTCCATCCTGTGACACACGTGTGGCAGGACCTCCAGGCACGAGGAGAAAGGTCTTCCCACAGTTTTCTAACATCTTGCAAGGAGCTGGGAACTCCAGAAAGGTTTGGATGGAACAATGGCAATTCTACAGGGTCTTCTCTGCCAGGAGGAGAGCTGGGGCTGCATCCTTTGGGGGGGCTGGACTAGGCTGAAGACACCAGCATTCAGGGGGGACCTTCTGGCTCTCTCCAACTCCCTGGCAGGAGGGTGGAGCCAGGGTCGGGTCGGGCTCTGCTCCCAGGGAACAAGGGAAAGGACAAGAGGCAAATGGCCTCAAGTTGCACCATAGGTGGTTTAGGTTTGATATTAGGAAACATTTCTCCACCAAGGGTTGTGCAGCCCTGGCACAGGCTGTCCAGGGCAGTGGTGGGGTCCCCATCCCTGGGAGTGTTCAAAAGCGCACAGATGTGGAATTTGAGGACACGGGTTAGTGGTGGCTTTGGCAGTGCTGGGTGAACAGTTGCACTTGATATCTCAGGGGTCTTTTCCCACCTCAAAGATTCCATGATTCCATGATCTACAGCACCATTCAGTTACCTACACAGGCAATGACCAGCTCCAGGACTGTGGAGCTGCACAGTCCACTTCACTGGGTGCATCATCGTTCTACTCTCCGAAGAAGGTCTTCCAAGAAGGCCCAGAGAGGTTGTGGACTCCCCATCCCTGGAGGTGTTCAAAGCCAGGTTGGACATGTCTTGGAGCAACCTGGTCTAGTGGAAGGTGTCCCTGCCCACAGCAGGGAGGTGGAACAAGATGATTTTTAAGGTCCCTTCTAACCCAGACCATTCTGGGGTTCTAGGACTCACACACAGCAGCTCTTGGGGATGCCTCAGCCCTTCCCCAAAAAAGCAACCAACCCACCTGCATATGAGCTCATCCAGCCCTGGGAGATGCCTGGGGGCATCTGGGCACACACACACAGACACACATGAAGCCCCCCCCCCCCTTTTCTGGCATGGAGCCAGAGCAGAGACCCTCACCCGTGTGATGTTCTGGACTCGGAAGAGCCGGGACACAATGTCCTCATCCGCCGTTCCGGACACGTACTCCACCTCCATGGGGCCGTACTGCTGGAGCCCTGGCTCGGGCCAGTACTGCAGGCAGGGCTGTGGGGAGAGGAACAACAGCTCACCAGGACTGGGAATGCGTGCTGGGACATGGGGAAGGGCGTCACACGTGACAGGCAACTGGGTGACTGGTGCTGGACACCAAGGGGGGCTCCCGGCACAGGGGTGGCACCAGGATGGTGTTACTCACACAGCACCCACAGCACATGGATGGAGGGATGGATGGAAGATCTCTCTCTCTCAGCTTGTTCAGGGATCAAAGCTGAAAGGTCAGATCCACCCCCAGCATCCACACAGCCCCCTCCCACTGCATGGACACAACAGCTGGTCCACGAGGATGCAGGATGGGCTGTGCCCCAGTTCCAGCAAGCACAGACTGGATCTGCACAACGATGGAGGAGGGCTTGGCTGACCAACAGGACCCCAGGGAATGGTTGGAGCTGTGTCAGGGCAGGCTCAGGTGGGATCTCAGGCAAAGGTTCTTCCCCCAGAGGCTGGTTGGGCACTGCCCAGGCTCCCCAGGGCAGTGGGCACAGCCCCAAGGCTGCCAGAGCTCCAGGAGGGTTTGGCTGATCCTCTGGGGCACAGGGGGTGACTCTTGGGGCTGGGCCTGTGCAGGGCTGAGGGTTGGACTGGATGAGCCTTGGGGGTCCCTTCCAGCTCAGCTGATTTTGTGATTCTGTGCTCCCACTCTGCTCTCAAGCTTTGTTAGCCTTAGAAGCCACTCTGGCATCAGCAGCCCCAGCAACACGGGATGACAGTTCCCCTCATCCCATGGCCAGGAAATCCCACCAAGTCAAAGCAATCCCAGCCTGCATCCCCAGGGAGCAACTCCACGTGTCCGTCACGGCCCTGACGGATGGCTCGGTCCAAGGGGCACGGATGAGATTGTTTTCACACTGTGACAGCTGGAAACCAGCATGGACACAAAACAGATGATGTTTGTCACCACACTTTAACAGGGCATTTACCAACCCAGGCCATCCACAGCCTGGGCCCAACCACACAGCAAACCTGTCTGAGAAGTAATTGGTTATTAATGGGGGCCATAAATCTCCCACATCTCGAAGCCTTCCAGACTCAGAACTATAATTTGGATATTAAAACTTCCTTCAGCAAGAGACGTAGTTCAAGTGAGGGCTGTACCCTCTAAGTCACCTTTTGGAGCTGCCTGCTGGAGAGGGTGATTTATTACCTGTTGGTCCTAAACTGGTAAACATTTAGGATTCAGCTAAATATTGTAACAGACATCCCTGAGGAAGGGACGTCCAGAGAGAGAGGCAGGGCTGGGTAATGAAGAAAAATGGCAGAGGGTGGTGCCAGGGGACAGTGGTGGCTGCAGGGGACAGGGATCTGGGGGAGGGTGGCAGAGGAGCCTCACAGGAGCTGAAGCTCACGGGAAGGCTTTCATTGCTGGACCATGGAATGAAAGAAAAGGCTGAGAGAAATAAAATCAGGTTTGCTGCCTCCTTCTAGAGCAGCACGGGCAGCAGGTCGAGGGAAGTGATTCTGCCCCTCAGATGAGACCCTCCTGCAGAGCTGCTCCAGCACAGGAAGGATATGGAGCTGCTGGAGAGAGTCCAGTGGAGGCACCAAGATGGTCAGAGGGATGAAGGAGCTCTGCTGGGAGGGAAGGCTGGAAGAGTTGGGATTGTTCAACCTGGAGAAGAGAAGCTTTGGGGTGACCTCACTGTGGCCTTACAGGGCCTGAGGGGAGACAAGTGCATGGCACAGGATTGCATCCAGATGGTTCTGGAATATCTCCAGTGAGGGAGACTCCACATCCCCTCTGCTCTCTGTTCCACTGCTCAGTCACTGCCCAGGAAAGAAATTCTTCTTGTGCCATTTCATTTTACTTCTGTTTTTCACACAGAGAGGTATATTTTCAACAGCAAATAACTTCTTTACAGTCTGTTGTAATGAGACAGGGAGAAACCATGAAAATCTCTCAAACCACATGGAATTTGCTGCTTATCTCACTGCGAAGGGCTTAAAAGAGCTGTCGACCTTAAAGGAGTTTTATTTTACAAAAAGACAAGCACTGCAAACCTGCTGCTGACTCGCCGTCAGTAGTGAGCTACTGAGCAGACACTCTCCAAAAAATAAACACACTTAAAGCCCCCCTTAGAGGTGAAGGTGCTGTTTGAATGATAAGTGAGAAGGAAACTGCTCTGTGAAAGGAACTTGTGCTATGGAGAGAGCATTTGCTAGAAATGCAACACCTTCCAGTCAGTTTGTAAGAACAACAGGCTGACAGCACAAAACATGGACAGTCACCAACCAGGAAAACCCTTTCCTGAAGCAGTGGATGGAAAGATAAGTATGTGATGGACTCAAAGACCAGGGCAAAGATGATGCCCTTCTTCCATCTGCAGCACACATTGGTGCCAGGAACCCTTTCCAGCAGTGACAGTCGTTAAAACCAAGCCTCAAAATAAACCGGGCTTCGAAGCAGCCCCTGGGATGGCTGGATCCAAGTGCCAGCAGGGTGCCCAGGGCAGCAGGACTCACCCAGGCAGAGTTGGACTGGTTGAGCTGGTTGAGCATGACGATGGAGGTGCAGCCATAGTCGTACACCAGCCTCCAGAAGTCGGTGGTGGTGTTCTGCAGAGGGTGCAGGGTGACGATGAAGGCAGCGCTCTTGGTGTAGCTCTGGGGAGAAGGAAACACAAGCACCATCAAGGGCGTGGTGGTGGCACTGGAGCCACTGCTGTCACCCCCCTCACCCCCCCAAAAAAATCAGTGCAACCAGAAGATGAGTGGCACCAAAGCCACCTTCTCCTGGTCTCCCTGGGACAACCTTTGTCACTCCTGGTGATGGGGAGTGATCCCTGCCCTCGGGCACCCACCCTCTGCTCTCCCAGGAAAGAGTATTTTGCATAAATAACTAAGGAAAAGGTGTCACCTTTGAGCCAAGAACAAGTAGAAGCTGTGGCTGCCAGATGGCCCCAGCCCCCAGCTCTGCACCCTGGCCCCAAAGGAAAGCATCAGCCCCAGCATCACCCCCAGCCACAGTGTCCCACCACTGAAAGGGCACTGGGAGCAGCAGGAGCAACCACTCCCCTGGGGTTCAATGGATTTTTGGGGGAAGAAAGAAAATCCCCAAGCAAAAGATCCCTAAAAACTGCAAGAAAGTGGGGGAGCAGGGGTGTTGGAAATTACTGGTGATAGCAGACCTTGAGTGCTGTGTCCAGTTCTGGGCCTCTCATGACAAGAAGGACATTGAGGGACTAGAGCGTGTCCAGCAAACAGAGTGGAGCAGGGGAAGGGGCTGGAGCAGCAGGAGCAGCTGAGGGAGCTGGGAGGGCTCAGCCTGGAGAAAAGGAGGCTCAGGGGGAACCTTCTGGCTCTGCAACCCCCTGACAGGAGGGGGGAGCCGGGGGGGTCGGGCTCTGCTCCCAGGGAACAAAGGACAGGAGGAGAGGGAACGGCCTCAAGTTGCACCAGGGGAGGTTCAGGTTGGACATCAGCAGGAATTTCTCACTGAAAGGGTTGTTAAACATTGGAAGGGGCTGCCCAGGGAGGTTTGGAGTCCCCACCCCTGGAGGTGTCCAAGGAAGGCCTGGCTGTGGCACTCAGTGCTCTGGGCTGGGGGACAAGGTGGGAATCAGGCACAGGATGATCTGGAGGTCTTTTCTGACCTGTGATTCTTTCTCCTTTGTACTTCAGATGAGAATCCCTCCCTTGGTCATCCTGCCACCAGCTCACCAAGCTCAACACTGCTTCGAGCAGACTCAAATGAACAGTTGGGCTCCAGCCCCCCAAACACAGACCCAGCACAGCTCTTTGCTGACTGGGGGTCCTCTGGCTGCTGCAGAACCTCCTCATTCCACCCCCAGAAATGCCTTTATTGAGCTGTCCCAGCCCTGCCCACGGGTAGCAGTGAGACCCTGGTGCCTGGTGAGAGCTTTCTGCCCTCAAGGAGGGGGCTGAGAGCAGCAGATTTCACCAGGGGCTGCCCAGGGCTTGCCTTGGCACCCGCATCTTTGGCACAGGTGTAAGTGACAGCAGCTGGTGCAGAGCAGGGCACGGCTCCACTGGCACCACACGATGTGGCACCAGTGACAGGCAGCCAGACCATCTGACAGATGGACAGACTGCCTTGAGCAAACCACTTTGGCACTTAAAGAAAATGAGACTTTTCTTTTTTTCTTTTTTTTTTTTTTACCCAAAGAGGGAAATGGGTTTTATCCCTTCAGCGAGAATTTCATCCTCGGGGCTTTTTCTGTCTATAAAAAAATATTTTATTCGCTGACCCTTTAGCAGAGATTAAGGGAGGCTCAGTGATGCATAAAAATAAAATGGATATGCAAACAGCAAGCAAGCTGAAAACAAAGCTACATCCCACTGAAGCCCAACAGGAGCCACTCCCCACCACCAGCAGCCCACTCCACTTTCCAAACTGCTTTTGCTGTGGGATCAGGGATCAGGGAGATGGGATCTGCACAGAGATCCAGCGGGATAAGTCACTCGTGGGATGGAAAATGCAAGGCTTGGCCTGGTGCCAGTGCTCAGCTGTGACCAGGAGGGTCTGGGGAAGGTGTCCAGGGTGTGAGGAGCTCAGTGCTGCCCGTGCAAAGCACCCCAGCTCCTTTCAGGGAGAGGAAGGTGGGTTTGGTGACAAATGGGCCGTCACTCAGAGCCTGCAGCATCCTCCCTGCTCTGCTTCGTGACCATCAGCAGCCAGGAAATAGCTTTGCCACCACGGGGGTCCCTTCTGACTGGCCCAAGGAGATGAATGGTGGCTTTGGGAGCAGTTCAGAGCCCCTGAACTGCAGCAGGAGGATGGACAGGAGGATGCACAGCAGGGTGCTGGCAGCACACGGGGGGCTCAATGCCACCAACCCCTCCATGAGCTTCCTCTCCCTCCTCTGCTCCCCTTTCCCAGCAAAATACTGAAGCCCCTCAGTGCGTGGCTCGTGGGAGGAGGTGATAAGTCCTTTCAGGATGCTGTTACACAGAAGAAGGGGGGCAGGTTCCAGCAGTCCCAGCCCTTCCTCCCCCGCAGCTGCCACGAGCCCTCGGTGCCCCCGGTGCAAAACGAGGCTGGAAGTCCAAACCAAGCCGTGAAAAGTTGCCTGAGACAGAACCCACAACATGCCCTGGGAAGGAAGGGGGGCACTCACATCGGTTAAGGCCGCGTTGATGTAGTTGTTGCTGTCTCCATCCACGGAGATGAGGAAGGGAAGGCATCGGTCCGGCGGCAGCACGTCCATGCTGCGGTTGCGCTCGCGGTTGCGGGGCAGGAGCGCGATGCTGCACTCCTCCACGTCCAGGTGTGGGGTCACAGAGTTCAGGGTCTGTGGGGACACACGTCCCCCCTCTCAGCACAGGGCCCAAAACCCCTTCCTGGTGGTGGGCACCGGGAGGGCGAGGGGAAGAGGGTGTCGCAGAGGTTTTGGGGCCGCTCACCTGGAACTCCTCCCGCAGCTGCGAGGAGTTGCTCTGCGGCTCAATCCTCACCATCTCCTTGTAGGTGGGCTTGAACTCGCTGGCGGGGATGCTGGTCTCCCCACACAGACAGGCCTCCAGGATGGCATCGTGGATGAAGATGTACTGCTCCTTTTGTGGGGAGAGGGGACAGGGCTGAGCCTCCCCCTCCTCCGTGGTGACAGCAGCCCCGCCTGTCCCCGGCTGTGCCCAGTGCCAGCTCACCTCTGTCTGGATCATGTTGATCCTCCGTGAGCAGAGGGTCTTCACGCAGTTGTAGATGTCCACCACACCCTCACACTCAGCCATGTCCAGCATAACGTCCAGGACGATGTAGCAGCCGGTTCTCCCCGTGCCAGCACTGGGGAGGGAGTGGGAAACACAGCAAACACATTGCCAGTCTCTGCTGGCACCCACACACAGCCCAAAGTGCTGCTGGGCACCGAGCAAGGTCGGTGTATGGACCCTGCCCATGAATGTGGGGGCAAATGGGGTCCAGGCAGGGCTGCCACGACCTCACACACCTCCATAACCACAGCCTGGCTTTGCCTTACACCCCCCCCAGACACCACTGCAGCAGCCCCAGGGGTGTGTGATGGTCAGGCTGTGGGGGGCACCCGTGTTTAAGGTTCATTTTTACTGTAAGACAACAGAACACATGCTTTTTGCAACAAAACTGAGAGCTAAACCACCTGAGTGCTAACAGTCCTCCAGGATCCCATCCCAAAAGGGCCAAGGAGGGCTCAGCACCGAGCCCTGGGAGAGCAGGGAGGTTCCCCTGGCATGAGCAGGTCTGAATTCCCCCAAGGGAGAGCCAGCAGGATGCCCAGAGCCAGCCCAGCAGTGCTGATATCCCAAACCCTGGACTCACAGTCCTACTGTTGCTGTGACCCGCCCCCCCCCACGACATGTCAGCAACAGAACCACCCCCCTGCTCCTTTCCTACAGTCTTTTCCAGTGAAATACTAATTTCTGGGGCTGATGAATCACTCGTGGTGATTAGCAGTGATTACAGGCTTCGGGCACTAATCACCCTGGCTGTTCAATGAAGGCTGATGAGGCAGTTGACAGGGAGAAATCAAATCAAATAAAAAAATCCCTCCCACTCATCAGCTGCTCGTTTTCCCAGGAGGGAGAGCCATTAACCCATCCCATGGGAATGCCAGAAAGCCACCACTGCTGCTCAGACATGCCACTGGTGTCCTCCCAGCTCCAGGGTCCCAGTGGCTGAGCCTGTCCCTGTGGGGAACCCTGGGAAAGGGGCTGTCCTCTGTCCCCCCTCCCTCTCCCTTCAGCCAGACCCAATATCTGACCATCAGCAGGGATCAAGCTGCCCGTTCCCCTGTGCCACCCCCCCCCAATAAGGACTGAGTTGTGTCATCAGTGGCAGGTGCTGTGGTAGCTCCAAAACAAGGCTGTTCCCCCTGGACCAGCCCCAGCCCCCCATCCCTGCTGCCACCAGCCTAGGGGTGACATTTTGCAGGGGTGACATCACAGAAGGACATCAAGGCCAGGCTGGACAGGGCTTGGAGCAACCTGGTCTAGTGAAAGGTGTCCCTGCCCATGGCAGGGGGTTGGACTAGATGATCTTTAAGGTCCCTTCGCCCAAACCATCAGCCCTAGCACCCTCCCTGCCTCAGCCTCTCCTCACTAGAAACCCAATTTACACCTTTCATATCCCCCTGTCGAATATTTCAGCATCACTCTGAGATTTCAGCATTGTTCAGAGCCCGGTGCTGAGCACCCAGGACACAGCGTGCTCCCTGCCCCCCCTCCCTGCCCCCCAGACCCCATCCTGGAGGTGGATGGTTCCCCCCAGAGCTGGTTCTGCCCCATGGCCATGTCTGTACCTGCAGTGGATGACAATGGGGCCGGCATCAGGCGGGGTGGATGCCTTCACCCTGCGGATGAAGGCCAGCAGCCCCGTGGCGTGGTAGGGGACCCCGTGCTCGGGCCATGACATGAAGTGGAACTGCTTCACCTCGTGCCGGGCTGAGTAACCCCTCTGTAAGGGAAGGGTGAGAGGGCAAAGTCACTCCAATTTTCTCAGGAATCCATGATTTTGCCAGCTCAGCATCCGCTCAGGTGGACCATACAACAGCTCCCTTCTCCTTGACTGCAAGAGGGTTAAAAAGCAACCAAGGAGAAAGAGGAGGAGGCAGCAGCAGCCTCAGGTCTCATTCCATGAACATCTTTGCTCCCTGCCCTATAACCAGGCAGCAATTTGATATTCCTGTAGATTGAGGGGTAAATTGCACCGGCTCCATCTCCAGTTACCAGGCTGGAGAGTGATGTCTGCACCACCTCCAGCCCAGGGGAGAGGAAAGCATCCTTCTCCCCCACAGCACTCACACAGTGCTGACAGGAAATTAAAACACTCACTCACTGCCCAGAACAACCAGACACTCACTGCCCAGACCAACTAAACACTCACTCACTGCCCAAACCAACTAAACCCTCACTCACTGCTCAGAACAACCAAACACTCACTCACTCACTGCCCAAACCAACCAAACACTCCCAGCCCAGCCCAACCAACCACTCACTCCCTGCCCAACCCAACATGGGGCTGAGCCAGCACAGGGTGCAGAGCCAGGGGAAAGGCAAAGGAAGGAGCTACCGGTGTCCCTGGGGTTCAGAAGCTGCACCTCAACCAGGGCTGAAAGCCCCATTTTGGGTTAATAACTAGGGTATTGGTCAATGCCAGGCCGTGGCTGGTGGTGGGAGCTGTCCCTGAGGGCAGGGTGGGCAGCAGCGGGGCCGTACCCTCTCGAGGGCGAAGGTGCGCACAGCGTACTCAGCCAAAGTCTCTGACTCCACCAGGGTGATCTTGATGTCCCCGTACATCTCCGAGTCATCTGGCCAGTATTTGGAGCACTTCACCTGCAAGGAGAGGATGGGATGGGGGTTTTGGCTCTGTGGAGGTGGCTTCTTGCAGAGCTGGAGCCTGGAGGGAAGGGATGGGGTGAGGTGCTTACCCGGCCCACCTCCACCAGCTTGGTGATCATCACAATGCTGGAACAGTGCTCCTGCCACACCATGCGCCAGAAATCGTACACCATCTCCTGCTTGGGCCCTGTGGGAGGCAGGAAAGGACCCCAGGGGTGGATGGGCACCACCAGCAGAACCCAGCCCCGGCAGCACCACGATGCCACCGCGCCCTCCCTCCTGCCTCTGTGGCACAAACACCCCCACAGCATTTTAGAGCCCTTGTCCTGCAGGGTCGTGGGGGGTTTTGTGGTGCCAAGGGGTGGCAGCTGCTCCACAGTGGCCCCCTGTCACCCTTTCCTGCCCCAGCAAGGTCAGATCCCACCAGGGACAAAAGCCAGCTGCTAAATGAGGGGCTGCAGAACCCCTGGCTGAGAGGGCTGGGGGAGCAGGGAGGGGGATGCCACACTCACCTTGGGTGGCTATGAAGTGGTTGGACCTGTGGTAGCCCTGCAAGGGAAGCAGAGACATCAGTCCTGAGCTGGGGGGGGACACTGGGACGCCCAAGAGCTGGGGCACAGCCCCATAAGACATTTCCCAGTCACCCAACTGGTCCTGCCCACCAGCACAGTGCTGCCCACCACCACGGGAGGAGGAGGTGGAGCAGTCACCCAGCACCTGGAACACTCTGTCCTGGGAGGGTGCACCTCCTGCATTCCATGGAAGACTCCTAACTCATCCCTGGTCTGCACTAAAATCTTTAGCAGCACCCAGAGGGCATCCCAGGATCCAGCAGCTCCTGCTGCCACTGGCATTGCTGCCACAAGAGCCCCACTAATGACACCCCACCCCACAGCAGCCACGTGGTGCTGAGTGACATCCCTGCTCCCCTTCTTCATCCCAGCTGCTTACAGGCACCATTCCCAACACATTCCAGCCAGGTTGCCTTCAAAGGGACCATGGACCCAGTGTCCCACTCCTTGGCCATGGGCCCAGCAGAGTTAAACCACAGCACACATAGGGAGGTGACAGTGGCTTCTCCCTCTCCCATGGCTCCTTTCACAGGGGATTTTGTGGGATGAATTCAACCTCTCCTCCGAGCACACGGGCCCTGCTTTCCCTGTGCCACACAGACCTCGCTTTCCCCTTCCCCGCACCATATCCAGCTTTATCCACACATTTTCCCAGCCTGCCTTTCCCTGATGTTATTTTAACAGCACACTGCCCAGGGCAAGGCCTGGCAGGAGATGGGAGCAGAAGAGAGGGGGAACCATCTACTTACTTCTCGGTTAATCCGAATCTTAACGATCCCGTTGGGACACAGGTTTGAGAGAAAAAGATCAGAGACAGAGACATTAGTGAGGCACAGATCAGAGAGAGAGGTTAGAGCACACGACCCAGAGCAGGTCACAGAGAGACACAGGGGAGAAGGGACACAGGGGACAGGCAGAGGGAGGCTGGGCTCAGGCACTGGGATCTCAGCATCAGGCCACCACTGACGGACAACATCTTCTGGACAGGAGGGAAGAGTTGGATTTGCTGCTGCTTCTAGGAGATGCTGGAGCCTGATGGAGCTTTCCTGCACCTCCCTTGGTCTCAGCATGGAGGTGACAGGGGACATTGTTCTTGGGGACATCACTGTCACTGGGGCTGAGCTCTGTCCAGACTCACAGGCACCAACAGGATCAGGGGTACCCCAGTGTGAGCCTCAGGTAGTCCCTTGGCCCCCTCAACCTCTGCATCCCTCACCCAGGGAGGACAGAGATCCACAGTCACAAAAGGAGGGAAAGAAAGGATAGAAAAAGGGAGGAGAGAGGAAATGAGAAAGGAGGGACAGAGCAACAAGCAGAAACTGGTGATGAACAGAAACAAATCGGGCAGGTCCTTCATGGTGTGTCTCAGGGATGCACAGACCAGCCCACCCTGGGCTGTCCAAACTCCTCAAAATGCTGCTGGACAGACCCTGACAGGCCCCAGGAAGCTCCTGTTGCAGCCCAGCCCCCCCGAGACAGGCCCTGTCCCCACTCACATCGATGTAGTTGGCGTTGATGTAGTCGGAGTTGGGGTCGCCCAGCAGCGGGTGCAGCTTCACACGGTGACGGTCGTCTGGGGACAAGGGCAGAAGGGACCATCAGTGCCTGGGGCTGGTCACCCACCAGGCACCCCCAGGTACCCTGTGCAATCATTCTGCACCAGGAACCTGCAAAACTCAGGTGGGTGGTGCATATTCAGGAGCAATAAACACAAGATGGTGATTTAGACCAGCATCAGATCTCCCTGATCTCTGCCCAGTCCTGCCAAAAAGAGGGCACCAGGATGGCCAGAGCCCAGAAAGCTCTGCCCAGCCTCTGGTGTCCTCTGGGGTCCTGAACAATGCTGGAGTGGAAGGCAGGAAGCTGAGGGCAAAGCAGGTGGAGAGCACCAGAGCTCCTGGAGCAGCAGCCTTGGTGTCTCCATCCCTGCAGGAATGTCTCTAGAGATGTGGCAGGGAGCAAGGTGGCTGTGCCACAAGGACTGGAGGGAGGTGGTGAAGAGCGTCCTGTCTCAGGTGGGGTCAAGCCCCTCCCTAATCTTCTGTCCTAAAAACTCATCAGTTAACCCCTTTTTGTCCACAGCATCCTGCACATCTGCACCAGAAGCTCCCTAGGGCAGGGCTGCAGCTTCTCCTAAGTCCATACAGGAAAACATACTTCAGGCTATGTGGGGCCTTTCAGCACCACCCAGAATATCCTGGTGATGGTGTCATCACCCCAAGATATCCCATCTTCAGGAGTTACCCAGCTCCAGCCAGGCCCTCCTCTGCTCCAGCCTGATGCCCAACAGGAGCTCTCAGGCTGGGACCCTGCACTGAGCAAGGACTTTCCTGCTGCCCTTGACCAACCAAACCCCACCAGTTTATTCCTTGCCATGGACTCGAGTCCAACCTTCTCCCAGAAAAGCCCCCAAAGCCCTTTATCAGGTTTCTGAAGCTGTTTGGGGTGTCTAAAGGCACTCACATGTCGACACGTGATCCTGTCTCCCTTTGGTCTTGTCTTTCTTCTTCGAAGCATCCCAGCCTTCAAAGAAACTCTGGAAGGAAAGGATGGATATCCTGAGCCGAGGGCAGGACTGTGGGGTCCCCTCCAGCCCCACAAGTTTCCTGGGGAGCAGGACAGACAGGGTGGTCCCTTTACCCCAACACTTGGCTCCATCTCCATAGCACGCTCTCCCAGCTCCATACATCTGTTGCATCCACAAAATGCTCCATTTTCCAGCAAATTACAGACTGCCTGGTTTTTTTCCCAGGGTTGGTTGTGGGTTTCTTTTTTTCCTAAACCTCTCCAGCCCCCTTTCTCTCCCCAGCACAGAATAGGTTTGTGTGTAATAACAGTAACATTCATAGATTGGTGTAAGAGGAGGAAAGTGGAAGGAAATTACATGTTTTCTCCCCTTCCATAATATCTGAGTGCTTTCAAATGACTAGTTCCAAGAACATACAGCAGCTTTTCAAGGAGCACTAATGATTATCACAAGCCCTGGTTTGTCCAATACATGAAAGGGGGGGGAAGCTCCTGTTCCTGACACAGCTGAGCATTAAACAGCAATTTCACTGGGAATTTTGATCCCCAAGACCTGTGGGACACCGAGGAGTCAGGAAATCACCCCTGCAGGGTGTGCTGAGGCAGAGGCACGGGAAATAATGTGCTCTGTTACAAGTGCTCTGGCCTGAACAGGTGGGATGGGCATGATGCAGCCAACGACCCTTGAGAGGGAAATCCCTCCTCTTCCAGGGATCCCCTTTTCCAGCATCCTCCCCCCAGGGTTTTCGTGGTCTTGGGAGCTGCCAGATTGCTTGTCCTTGGGCTACAGCTTCACTTATCACAGCTGTGTCTGGGAGCACAGAATGTGACATTGTGGTGCCCAGAGGGAGGAAGAAGAAGGAGAAGAAAGGGGGAGAAAGGAGAAAAGAGGAGGAGGAAGGAGGAGAAAGAGGAGGAAGAGAGGAGGAAGAAGGGAGGGGGAAGAAGGGAGGGGGAGGAAAGAAGAAGGAAGGAAGGAAGGAGGAAGGAAGGAAGGAAGAGAAAAGAGAAGAGGAAGGAGGAGAAAAGAAGGGGAAGGAGGAGAAAAGAAGGGGAAAGAGGAGAAAAGAGAAGGGGAAGGAGGAGAAAAGAAAGGAGGAAGGAGGAGGAGGAAGGAAGCATCCCCAGCCCTTGCAGGAGAGGTGGGATGACGCACTGCAGACAGCACTGGCAGGGCTGGTTTGGCTCCTCTCAGGGACCTGTTCAAGCTAACAATGAAATCCAGAGCTGCCAGGACCAGAGATTTGATCCAGACCCAGGGACACCCCCCCTGCAGACAGTGCCAGCCCAGAGAGCTGTGAGCTCCAGCTCTGGAGCATCTTCTTCCTGCATGTGGATCCTGCCTGTGCCACCTTGTCCATCCACCTGCTGCTGTTTAACAGGGGAGTTTATGCAGCACTGACCTGCTTTATGCCTTTGCTGTGGAACCACCAGCAGAGCCCCACCGAGACCTCACCTTTGTCAGGGGAAGGTCCCACACAGTGATGCCTTAAGCCCCTAATGGCTTTTTATTTTTCTAATATTGGTAAGCCTTGTAAGTTTTATAAGTAGTGGAAGTAGACTCTAAAAGCAGCATCCCTTGTCCCTTTCCCCTTCCCTCTAGCACCCTTAGTTTACACATTCCTTAACCCTCTTACCCCATTCTATGCTCCCTATATCAGTCCTACCCCTGAATCTAGCAGAAATCTTTAGTCTTTTGTCAAGGCAAGGCCTAGATTGTTGGCAGAACAGCATATCAGGGCCTGAACAACAAAATGAAGTCAAGAATTAGGTAACTATGTACCCTTTGTGCTCTGATGATGGTGAAGGTGATGAAGTAGGTGGTCCCAAAATGCACCCCAGACCCATTTTCAGGGGGTGGACCTGGGGCGGTCCAGAGCAAAGGCCACAGGGTGGACACATCTGGGATTGGATGGATGGTATTATAAAATGTAACATCTCAGGCACGGCCTGCGTGTGTCTTGTAACACCTTTAGCCTTGGCAAAATAAACCCTTTCTTATCTCACCCCTAATAACCTGCTCCGGGAGATTTTTTCAGCACCATAAATCCCACGGCAACACGGGACCCCACAAAACCTGATCCCCTGCACTGCTGTCAGGGGCTGGGCAGGCAGGGACGGCTGAGAGGGCTGCAGGATGTGTTCTCACCTCGTACTCCTGCTTGAAGCCGTAGCCCTCGGCCGTTTTCATCTGGTTGATGTGCTGCAGGAGGTCGGCCACGCGCACGGCCGGGTGCAGCTGCCCCGTGTGGTACGGGGAGCCCTTACGGCCACACTGGCGCCGTGGGGAGCCCCCCAGGAGGCTGCTGGACTCATTGACCACGCTGCTGCGCTGATCACCTGCAAAAAAAGAGGGGCAACCACAGCCCATCAGGGGGGCAAAACCTGGGGCAGCGTCCCCGTCGCCTCCTCGCGCTCGCAGAGGGAGGAAGGAGACACCCCTGGGAGCGTTTTGGTCTCCATGGATAACACCTGTGGTAGTTTGGTCTAGGCCTTCCTTGGTGACCAGTTTGTAACCAAGGAAGGGTCCAGATTAACCCAGTATTCCCTATGATTTTTACGTAAGCCAGGCTATAAGAAGAAAGGAGGAGAGGCCTTCACTCTCTTTTCCTTCCAGCAGCTTGGAGGTGCAGGTTCCCTGCTGTTGAGTCTGTCATGTTGGGGAGCGAGGCCTGGTGAGGCCTTGTCGACCTTGGGAGACAGAGGTTGCCAGCGATCGTTCCAGAGCAACTCTCGGTTGTCCCAAGGAGAGTAGTGAGATATTTCTTTGCTAACTCTTTAGTTACTAGATCTCGGGCTACTGATTGAGATACATATATATTTTATTAAGGCTTTGTTCCTTTTCCCTTCCCCCTTCCCTTTCCCTTGTGAAATTGTATATATATTTCAATTGTATATAACTGTAACATAAG